CTAAGTGCTTGGTAACTGGCTTCTTCTGTGCTTCATACCATCTACCATTTTGAGGAAGCCTTTGCAGTGGCCTGTGACTAGAAAGAATGTTTTTCTGAGTGTGTGTATTATACTGTTTTAAAGTTCTGGTCAAAAGTTGTCATTTCAATTGTTTTCTATCAGTAAATTCACCCCCTTTTTTTTCCTGAATAGGGAAGTTTCTCTTTAGAGAGAAGAAACCTCACACACGTAAAAACATATTAGGTATTTCAAACCAAAAGAGAGAAAGTTTAGATTAGATATAAGGAAGAAATTGTTGGCTGTGAGGATGGGGAGGCCCTGGCACAGGTTGCCCAGGGAAGCTGTGGCTGCCCCATCCCTGGAAGTGTCCAGGGCCAGGTTGGACAGGGCTTGGAGCAACCTGAGCTAGTGGAAGGTGTCCCTGCCCATGGCAGGGTTGTGGAACTAAATGATCTTTAAGGTCCCTTCCAACCCCAGTTACTTCATGACTCTATAAAGTATTACCCGAGTTTTTATCTTACGCTCAAATCTTAAATATTTTTATTCAATGTATTCCAGTAATCTGTAGTTTGAGTGTCCAAGTGCTACATGCTTTAAATGTTAATCTTTTTTGCTCTTTAATCCATCAAGACATAACTGATGGCATTACTGTCCACATCCCCAAAGTTACCATTTTTTGATCACCTTTTCACATGACGTACTTTGCAGAATTGACTGGGACTTTCTCTTTAGCACTACACTGCAGAAGCTTCTAATGGTCACTGCCCTATTCTCCAGAACTCAATTTCACAGCACATTGGAGGTGACACGCTTTAACTACAGTGGAGAAAACTTTATTTTCATCCCTTTCAATTAAATTAATACCTGTTTGGGAGTGCTCTGCAGGTGCAAACTGGAGTTGAGTTGCAGTGCACTTTAAATGGAAAATGGTGAATAAGGTGCTCCTTGGTAAACTTTTGTTACAGATACTGCCAGGCTTTATAAAGTTTAACAACCTGTTAGAGTCATTAATCTCCTGCTGTGACTTTACCTTCCAGTGTAAGGATTAGACATTTAATTCTTTACTAGACTGTAAGTAGCACTGAGACATTTTGGTCCTAAAATTGTTATATAGCCATGGAAAACATCATTTTGGTGGGCATTTAACCTCTTTGAGCTCAATTATAGCTGTGAACCAACAATGATAAAACAGCCCTAAACAGTGCTTAGAACAGTACAACATGATGCTATCAAAAACAGCAACTTGACTGTGCACCATAAACTGACTGAATTGACTGAACTGGAAAGACATAAAATCTGCCTTGTGCTACACCATTCATTGCTTTTAAAAATATTTGCAGGTTTTGATGTTTTCATTCTATGTTTTTTGGTTTTTTTTTGTTGGCCACCCTGGCAAATTTATTATTCTTTTAGTTTTATGTTGATTAATAAAGTTTTCTACTGTGACAAAATGAATTAAGCAAGACCTTAATTCAATGTGCTTCCCCCTCTAACAAATGAAGTTTCATGTAGTGGAAACTACCCACGCTTTGAATTCACCTCTAGCTTAAAAATTCAGTGTGGGGAGGGGAAAAACCTAAAGCATTGTCTTATGAGTAATAGCTTTTGTCATAATATTTACATCAGAATGCAGCATAAATTAAGGCATTGCAGAGACATTTGCTAATGTAGGTACGTGCAGGAGCTCTCGTGCTGGTTTGAGAATAAAATATGATGTGCTTTTGCTGCTTGTTTTATGAGCATTTAAATTCAAGCCACAAGACTTCCCCCGTTCCCTTCTAAGCTGATGTTACTTGTATGAAACAGTGAAATCCCTGGATGCAAAGCCATCACTTAGGCTGGACTTTGTTGCACTCTGCAGGGGAACACACAAGATTAGTTTTCCACTAGTTATTTGCCTTGATGAATAGCCCTAATTGGATCAAATAGACTGGTAATGGGGAGCCAATACTTTCAAATGTCTTGTCTTGTGCCATTAATATTACCTTGTCATGTATCCATTTGAGCTGTTGGATAAATGTCTAGCCTTCACACTCCTGTCACATTTAACAAATGATTTTGTCAAGTCATTCTTTATAGCTTGTGGTGAAGGATAGCAAAATTTGTGGTCTCCTGCATACATAAAACCCGTTAACTACACCTTTCAGCTTCAATGCAAGGGCATCCTAAAACTCTGATAACAAATTTCTAAAGAAATTATAATTCCTGTTTACAGGAGGGGGCAGAAATATGCTGCTGATATCTATGATTAACACAGCAGAGGGAAATAGAATTCATTAATTTTGTATTTATCAAACCTGTGACAGTCAGAATTCAGATTTATTTTTTTTCAGCTACTGCAATTATGAACCTCATAAGGCAACACACAGTTGCCATTAGAAATGAGATATCCATTTAATTCATTAATTTTGATTCAGATAGAACTCTACTGTATATTTGCTATGTGAAACCCCAGATTCCTGGTTAGCTGATGCTCTTGCTGTCCTTTTTATTGATTTCTGGTATGTGGTTGTAGACTGAAGATATTTAACACTGATGAAAATAAGCTGCTTCCTTGAACATCCTGAGATTTTCTTAGAATTCCATGGGGCTTATTGTTATAGCCAGATCTATAACACCACATTAACTTTGATCAAAAGTTGAATTGAATAAAAACCCTTTGGAACAGATACGTCCTTATGGGACAATGCAAACAGAAAAGTGTCAGTGTTCATTTAGCATTTAAAGTAGGTTTTTCCTCAGTGCAGTGGACAGTAGGTTTTACTGACATATTGAACTTGAGCAAGTGGATTTTCTTAAGGATTTTTCGCTGAGTAGGAGATGGAAATCACATGGGATTTTCAAAATCTTTGTGTGTTCCTTTGGAAATGCCACCATTTGGCCTGTTTCAGTACAATGGGCATCAAAGTCTAGCTACAGGTACACAAGTGAGGCATCTGACCCCAGAGCAGATTTTCCCAGCAAGCACTGGGAGATGGACATCTGCAAAAGGTGATTAAACAAGTTTATGATGCACCTTCTCTGGCAGTGTGTCTCCCTTAATGCTGGCTACAGGTGAAACCCTTCATTTAATAGGGAATCACAGAATATCCTGAGTTGGAAGGGACCTACAAGGATCATTGAGTCCAGCTCTTGGTTGTCCTGCACAGGACAACCCCAAGAATCTCACCATGTGTCTCAATTTTCAAGTTAGAGGATTGATGTACATAGTGATTGGAAATCTATCAGCCACAGAATGCAGGGTGCTGTGCTGGTGCACTATTTTCTGACTCTTGTCATCTTAGAATATGAGGGTTTTTTGCAATGCTTTGATGTATTTGAGGCAATATTAGTGTTTATTATGAGAAAACTATTCATGGATAGGGATCTCACTGTGTGAGATGCTGTGCAAACAGACCCAAAGGATGGTCCAAAAGAGCTTTTAATGCAAGAATAAAATAAGAGTCAGCAAGTGGATAGCAGGAGATTGAGGAGAGGAAAAAAAGAAAGAGTACAAGATGTAAATGTAATAGGTGGTGACAAACACACACCAGCTTCCTAACTCTTGGCAGGTCTCTGATAGATTCTTCTTTTCTTTTTGTCTTTTCCCTCTGCCTGTTTGCATGTGTTACTGACTTAGCTATTCTGAGCCCCTTTAATCATTTTGGAAGTGGAGAAAAACGTTCCAGATAGAATCTGAGTTGAATTAATTTTTCAGGGGAATTGAGAACTGCTGGGTTTAATACATTGACTGCTGTAGTTGTGATGGAAATAAAAGGAACACCTCACACAAACACATATATGGTATTTTGCTTTGCTTGTTTCTACTGCACCACTCAGGGATTGAATGAAAATATTCAAAGTTAGCTTTGCCCTTATTCAAATAGAGCTGAGAATTGCTGCCATCAAGCAGCAAATGCATCTTGGTGTATTTACAGTGCCTAACAATATACCAGTTTTCAGTATGATTGGGTGTTTTGATGACACCTTGTCTAGCTAAAGCTTTCTTATCTGGACTGCAAAATAGAGAAAATTACCTTTCTGGATGTTTCATCCAACTAAAAATGTATGATTTAAGGAGACTAATGGCTACCCAGGCCTCCAGGCTGAATAGCTCCCAGCTTGTGTTCCAGTCCACAGTTTTTCATTCTTAACAACCAAAAAGCTGGGGAAGGCATACTCAAAATGTTTCTGATCCACAATCCTACAGAGCAGTTATGCTTCCAGGAAGAATTATTTAAGATTTCAGTCATCTTTCTGGCTGTCTTTCAAATTTTAGTGAAGTTTGACACTAATTAGTGGTTATCAATAAAGTAGAGAAGAAGTTAGTGGCATCATTCTTACAGTAATATTGTTTCAAACAGATGTTTTTATGAGGTAACAGGTGTTAAATCTTCAGGAACTTATAGGATGTGGGTTTTTTTTCCTTTGTAATAAACTATGGTGTGTTTTCTAATCCGCCTGGAAAATGCTTAAATGGGTTTTCTGTTTATACCTGCTGAAAGTATTTGAAAAAGAATATGAAGCGCAAGGCATCTGCTACATGAAATATTAATTATTGCACAGAATACTATTCAGTGCAGGAATTAAAGAAGGCTTAGAAATATTCAAGCTAATATTTTTAATGGTTGCTTGAAGTTAAGCTCCTTAATCCATATTTGGCTTTTAAGTGAGCCGAACTGTTTTTTTCAAGCAGTGGGGAGCTTTCAGTTCTCATCAGTTTGCAATGTCTTAGGCAGGTAATCACCATCATCCTGTATAGATCCATTCAGTCCAGTAGGATTAGGTGTATGCCAGCATGAATCCCACGAGGGTTTGGCAGAGCCTGGGCCTTTAAGTGTTTCATTTTGTGTGCTTGTTGGAAATATTTAACTTGGAGAAAAGAAGGAAAAAAAATTGCAAACTTCCACGTATTGCTGCGAGATGTGAGACATCAACGCTTAAATATGAATAGCCAAGAATAGTGGGAATGGCTATGGATAACTCTCCTTTATTTACTGGTCTGCTTTCTTTTGTCACAGCTACGGAAGGCAGTGATGGATCATATATCAGATTCATTCCTGGAGACCAATGTCCCATTGCTGGTTCTCATTGAGGCTGCAAAAAGCGGGAATGAGAAGGAAGTGAAGGAATACGCTCAGGTCTTCCGTGAACACGCCAACAAGTTAGTTGAGGTAAGTGACCTTATTGACTCAGCCAGGTTTCCATCTTCCATCTCTAGGAGAGGCAAAAAAAATGGATGAAATGTTGCAATTATAGTTTCAAGAGTTTTGGCCAGCTTTATCCCAGTGATTGCACGGGAAATGCCTGGATGACTGGCAGAGGAAAGCACGTGCTATGTTTTAGCAGCTCATTAAGAGTTGAGCACCTTAAAAGTGGTATTTCCAGTATTTTTCCAAAAAGCATGAGTGACAAGAAGTAAATTTCAGTTCAGGTTTACTAACTATACATTTGATCTTAATCCCTATTAAGTAAAAAGCCAAATAGGGGCTTCACAATACTGTATCTGGTGGCCAAAGGCTGCTCTAGACTTGTCAGTCTGAACTAAAACAGGGAAAATTACATCTAGAGAAGTCATAGCCTTAAGAACACATAAAGTCTTGAAAGGTCTGTATATCATATATAAATACATATATTTATAGTATCTTCTCTTTCTGAAGAGGCATACTGTGCAAAGTCAACTAATGGTAATTTCAAGTCTTCAGGGATGATATAGAAGTAGCTTTATTTATTTATAAATAAATTTAAATATAATATATTTTATTTATTTATTTATTTGTTTGTTTATTACCGTGAGGAGTATAAAATATAATGATTGAAACCTTGGATCCGCATTGAATGGACTTTTATTAAAATGCTGATGTCCATCTCAGTTTGTCCTTTAACTGATCTAGAACTATGAAAAAATGCTTCTATTTCTTTAAGGCAAATATAACTTAGTGATTTGCTTGACAATATTGTGTGGCATTATTGACTTTTCTGTACTAGCATTATTTTGAAGACTGTGCAAAACACTTGCTAGTGTTCTTTAGCAAAGGAAAATGCTGTTGGGGAACTACTGATTTAACAAGTATTGAACTATACCTTCGAATGTCTTCTGTTCTTAAAACAGGCCTCATCCTAATTCTGTAGTGCCTGAGCTGAAGGAAGGAGTAAGGGTTTCTTGGTTACTATTGACTAAAGCTTTGTTACTGTCTCCTTGTAACTGGAGCTGTGGCAATGAAAAAGGAAATAGTAGGTATGTACAGGGAAAAAAAAACCCAAATAAACTGAAAACCCCTCCACAGTATTCATAGTTATTTTATAGTGTCAGTCAGAGTTCTAGACTTATATTCAATGAACATATGGGGTTAGTATTGTAGCAGTCACTTCCTCCACCGATTTGGAACAAAGTTTTGTGATGACAGCATTATTAAAAAGTTAAAAATTACTAAGTAGATATATTAAAATTATCATAGGAGATATTGACATGAAAGGAGGACAAATACTGTTTAGATGTGTTGTTAAAAAAAAACACAAAACAACCAAAAATAACCCAAAAAACACTCACAAGGAAAACCCACACCGCCTTTTACCTGGAAGAAGAAAGAACCATGATGGTGTTAAACTGACAGAGGGCAGGTTTAGGTGAGATCTTAGGAGAAAATTCTTCCCTGTGAGGGTGGTGAGGCCCTGGCACAGGTTGCCCAGAGAAGCTGTGGCTGCCCCATCCCTGGAAGTGTCCAAGGCCAGGTTGGACAGGGCTTGGAGCAACCTGGGCTAGTGGAAGGTGTCTCTGCCCATGGCAGGGGTTGGAATGAGATGGGCTTTAAGGTTCCTTCCAATCCAAACTGTTTCATGGTTCTGTGATTCTATGAAACCCAACCAAAGAGCAGTTACAGTTTTCTAGCTTTGGTTTTACAAGCCTGACATTACATTAGACTCATATTTTAGACCAAACTGGAGTTTGATTAATGATTTTTAACATTATGTGGTCATCTTTAGGTACCCCACCAACAAAGCAGTGCTAATAGTAACAATAGATGTCTTGGGCTTAATACTTGATTTTTTTTTTTCCATTTAGGTTATTCCAGAGTATTAGGAGCAGATTCCTAATTGATTCTTGTATGTTTGGGACAGCTGGTACTCGTTTCTGGGTTCATCCGTATTCTTTTCCAAGGATGGGTTCTTTTAGGTGGATCTTGCCCTTTTAGTTGTAAGGACTATCTCTGGTTCAGGTGAAAAGTGTCTTGAAGAAATTAATTTCTAGAGCAAGTGAAATTTTGAAACCCAGATTTCAAATTCCTCAGGCTGCACAAGGAAATAAGTATTTGGAACAGATTTATGTCCCTTCTCCACTAGATTTTACACTTAAAATAGTTTCCTCATTTTTACTTATTGATGCACAATGGAATCTCAGCAGATGGGCTTCTGTGGCTTTGTGGGTCAAGTATTTTGCAAATAGTAAAATGTGGTTTAAAGATGAGACATAATCAAGTGACTATGAAATGTAAGATCCTTTCCCAGGCACGGGGCCAGAATTCCTTGCAAATATATGCAAACACAGCTCCACTGAAGTATGTGGAGTTGCACTTACTCATGTCAGAGGAATTTGGCACTGCAAATTCAATACTGTGAAAACTCAGTAGTATTAATCAATTTTAAAATCAGAATCTGAATTTCTTGGATGTCTTACCAAGCTCAATAGAAAGCCTATCAAAAGGTCAGGAAAAAATAATCCATGTTTTAATACTTCCTTACACAAAACCTGCATTTTAACATCCTGAGGGAAAAAAATGCAGTTGATATTTGATGAATACAAATGGCAAAATTTTCTTTGTATGGCCAATGCATTTTAAAAAATACCTGCTGTAAGCATGAGGCTTATGGAGGTTAACTTCCTTTTATAGTCCATATTGCAGAATACTCAAATCTTCTCTCAAAACCTGTTTTCATTATATATATATATGTTTTCCCTTCCCCATTATCTTAACATTAATAACCACAAAGATGAATTGTCATTTCTCTGGGCATTCACTGACAACCAAGTTTGTCTATGGGTTTTGTTGAAAACACAGAGCAAGGTGATACCTTACTATGATGTAAATCATCCAAAACAAATCAAATTTATTTTATCTGTCATAAAGACTCTGGAGGTTAAAAATAATAATATAATAAAACAGGATTCAGATGGTACCACTCCAGTCTTGGAGGGCTGACTATTTTCCTTCCAATCATTTCTCAGCAGTCACCTCTCAGTTTTTTTCTGCCTTCTGAAACTGAGGTTAGAGAAGTGATGGTGCCTTTCCAGGTCATGATCTTTACCTCATGAATCCCTTCAATGTTTTTTAAAAAAATATCTCTTAATGATTGAAAGTCAGTAAACACCTGAGTTGTAATGCCAGCTTCAGATATGACCTTGGGAAGTCATTTAACTTCTCTATCCAGGCACCTTCATTTGTAGCATACGGTTAATGACAGATAATTCACATACCTGCCACACAAAGGCACTTGACTGATAAATCAGCTCAGATTTATTCAGTGCATCTATCGAAGCACTATATGGCAACTAATTAATTAATTTTCATTATTTTGTTTAGTAAAGCTTCCTTGGTTTAACTGTTAGTCCTCTGGAGTGTTTCTTGCAAAATTAAATTAATAAATCCAACAATTTTTCCTGGTAGATGAAATTCAGCATCCAGTAAATTCTCAAGGGCCACGATAGCAGGCTGTTCAGTTGAAATTCAGATTATAGGCCCTTGGTGGATTGGGTCAGACTTTCCATCCTCACAAGGATGGACATGAGTCCAAGGGAATTCTACTTGTTATTTCAGTTTGGGGGAGTTTTAATATTTTTATTGAAGGACTTCACCATTTGGTGGTCAGTCATTTACAAGAGTTAAATCCAGTCACATTATTTTTTCTTGAAAATTATTTCCAACGAAATTGGAATGAAGGGGGTTTTTTGTTCTTCAACATGAACTGATGCAGCACCAAATTTAAAACATCTAAAAACTAACTTTTGAAAAGGTAATACTTTGCAAATTTTGCATGAATTGATTTTTAGGGAGAATTTTGTGGAGCCTTGCATGAATCTATCAGTCTTATCTCATACAAATTTAATAGATTTCTGAGACACACCAGATAATCAAAGTTGTCTTCTAAGAACACTTGGCCAGTGAAAGAACTGTGTTAGGCAATGGTTTATGGTGATTTAAAGTTGATATAGTGCAAGCAAATCAATAATATGATAAGGTTGGATAGCAATTTGTAGGAGATGAAATCCAACAGCTCCATTCTTTCTGTTTTATAGTCTCTTTTGTCCATTAAGTTTGCAGGAACCCTTATTAATGTTCTCCACTTTGAAGAGGATAATGGGGTTACTTTGGGATTTTAGGGGTTTGGGATTTTTTTCTTTTACATTCTCAAGGGGAAGAAGAAAAGTGTTTGAACTCCTTTGTGAGACACGATGCAGGCTACACTTCATTTTCCAAGAACTGTATTATTCAGAGCTCTCCAATTCAGACTGATTGTGTGCTTTCCCATCATAAATGTAGAAGCAAGGTTGCATACTGAAGATAGGAGAGAAAAACCCACTGTCAGTATGCACAGCACACAAAACAATCAACTGGACTTGCTCAGTGACCCCTGATTACTTGATTTAGCAATGAGAGGAGAGGGGAGAAAGAGTGAAGGAAAACTTTACTCTGGTGGTTGCTAATGAATTTAATCTGGATTTCCATCAGCATTATCAGAACTAATATCCAGCCTAGTATTTTTTTTCTTTCCAGAAATATCTCTCAGAAAAGCACACAGAGCATTTGGTTCATAAGAAATGCAAAACTAGACTTTCTCTTAGGGAGTGAAAATCATCTCTGTAAACCTGCAACGCACTTGAGGTCGATGGAGTGCTGAGAGTTCACAGTGTGGCACTCAAGCTCACTTCCAGGAGGTAGTAGTGGCCTTCATAAGGAGTAGATGATGGTGTTTTATTTGTGCTTTTGTAAATATTTTCTAAATTTGTGAACAGACAGATTTTAATTAGAGACAGACAAAACCCAGAGGAAGAAGCCTAAGAAAAAAAATTTGGCTCATTTATTTCTGCAACTTTAGCTCAAGGAACAAAGTGTGTTCCTGTTGATGTATTTCACAGATACTTGTTATATCAGAATATACAACTAGCTTTTTGTTTCTG